ATATAGTGTACTCTTTTGGTTGAATGTAGTTTTTATTTCTACTTTGGTTTTATATTGTGTTTAGTTTTTATTCAAGTGCATTTTTTGTTAACGGAGACTGAGAGTTCATTTTATTTTTGTTTTTGGTTGTTTTGTTTGTTTACCAGTTCTAGTGTTAAGTGTTCTTCTGGAAATAATGTGTATTTATTTTTGGCAGTATGTGCTTACATTATTATGTCTTCATCATTACATCAGTTTAAAATGATCTTCAAACAATATTATCGTTTATCGCAATAATTTTTGAGACAATCACTCAGCAAAATGTGTTGTCGTGACAGGCCTAGGCATCATGTCATGGTACCAGGTGAGAATTCTCTGAGCCCCTAAGACTGACCAGTTCTATAACAAATATCAGTAGAGAATGCATGCAGAGGTGCTGGGTTTTATACCTCTGTAGTCATGGAACGCCTGGAACACCTGAATTCAGTGATTTAGAAAGGTGAGCACATACTTTTGGCAGCACAGTGTATGCCTTATAATCCATTTAAACATTTGCCTGTCTCTGCTTCTGTAGAATAATGTGGTTGCTGATGCTCCTACTTCTGGACTACCAGCCAGACAGCGCTGGATGAGCAGAACTAAGAGTGTGTCTGTCTCTGCAGACATCTTTCCATTCCACTGCTCTCACTATTTTTCCTCCACCCATTTGCTTTTAGAGTAGTGTAGATTAATCAGAGGGATTTAATTAACTTGGCCGCCACACACATATCAAACTGAGATACAAGGCATACTATAAACTCAGCCAATTATCTCCTGATCTCCTGCTAGACAGGGTGGTGGTGGACACAGGGGTGCATGGCTGCCTGCCTGTCCCTGTCCCCACACGTCCTTCAATCCTCCACCTGTGAACAACGGCAGATCTTATTACTACAGCTGCCCCCGTCCTCACCCTGACTTTACTCACTGGGAAAGAGCCCAGCATTATAGATGAGCAGCTACAGATTGGGTTCTTGTGATTACTTGTGGAATGAACTTAATTCTCGTTGCAACCCTTGGTCATTTTAATTTTAAGGTTGCAGAGTGTGACATGCTCGCTGAGCAGTCTTTGTGGTGTTAAGTTGGACTAAGTGATTCGCTGTTGTCACTTAATCCACCATTGCAACAACAATGTGTGCAACACGCAATCACTGCTTGGATGGACTCTTAAGTGCTCTCACCTAACTTTTTATTTACGGTAGCTGCTTGAGATACAAAAGCTCACAGAGTGACGGGAACAATGAGTAATGGTAAAAATATAACAGTCACAAAAATATTAAATTGAATTTTTCACCACAGAATCACAATTACATATTTTCAAGATATCATGCAGCCTGAGTTTTTAATCACTTTATTAATGGTGAACTGACATGCTCTTCTCTCATATAACCCAGTAGAAAAATTTACTTTCAACCAACTAACCCTAACTCCAAACTAGGCCTGTGAAAATAAATCAATTAATTGCATGATAGATTAATTCAAGCTCAAAAAAGTCCATTTTTATCATCTATTATTTTTCTCTTTTCTCTCTCCCTTTCTACCAAAAACTAGTAGAAACCAAGTTTTCAGTCTGCTGCTTTGATCTCAGCTACCCCTTTTTTTAAAGGACACTTTTGTTTACAGAGTTTGTTTACATAATTCATTATAGTTGTTTCTCGGCAACAGACTGGCGACCTGTCCAGGGTGTACCCCGCCTCTCGCCCGAAACGTTTGCTCGAGATAGCACCCTTCCTGACCCCACTAGGGACAAGGGTGTACAGAAAATGTATGGATGGATGGAGTTGTTTCTGTTTACTTATTTTGGATGTCTTCCTATTCCAGTGTTAAACGTTCATTAGAAATTAAATTTATTGATCTACGAGAATGTGTTCTTGCTTTATGCCATTACCATTTTAGCGCTTGAAAGTGGGCTCAAAACAATGATATAATTTGTCACAATAACTTCTGGAACAATTTATTGTTCAGCAAAAAATTTTATTGTAACAAACCTAGTCCAATCCAATTTGGGGGGAAAAAAATCAATACCCAATGTAGAGTGAGATATTCTCATAGGAGCTGCATATGTTTAAGAGTACTGATGCATCAGTACTCATACTGAAGTGACCAATGTTCCAGTGTTGGGTGTTCAGAGGACGAGCCAGATTGTAGGTCTCATTAGAGAAACTTAGCGTCTCTCTAATTACTCATTACTAATGGCAAGCTGCACTTTTTTTGTTAAAAACAGAAACAGCATAATGTGGCCAATAAATCTTTGTAAAAAAATCAATGTTCGCAGTAAGATGAGTCATAAAACAACTGTTGGTGATGAAATGGGACACAGCCTAACAAATAGAGAAAGCTGTTTTACAAAGAAGCCAAATTATCCATTCTATGTCAACAGCATTAATAACGATGTCCACAGTCCCATCTGCATGTCTTGTAGTAATGTCTTTTTTGACCAACTGAGGATCAGCTCTGCTTTTACTTCATTGTCTCCTTGGCATAACACATTTCAACCCTAACAGGGCTATTTAAAGGGCTTCACAAAGAAAAAATAAACAACAAATACATCAAAATGCTAAATACATGTAAAAAACACAGGGTGTTACCAAAAGAAAAACTACAGTGAATTCTTTTAAGCTTAGCCAATTAAACTTGGCCCGGTCTCCCTGATTCCACCATATCAGTATTGAAATGCTGTTAGTGGTGCTGATGTTCTTAGCAGGAAGAGGGACCCCTAAATCAAATTCTGCTCAAGCCCCCATGCAACCTTGGGGCAAAACCTGCTGCACTGCACACCTTTCTGCTGGACCTAAGGGGAAAACAGGGAGATTTAATGTATGTGGCACTAGTAGAAACCAAGCTTTTCCGTTTCATCACTGTTGTGTGTATATAAGTGCCACAGAGCAGTTTGTTTTTTGTTGCCTGGGCTTAGGCCAGTCACAATAACAGATTTTGCTGGGCGATTAATTGTGCCAGAAATTTTTGATATAAATGATAATATTGTCATTTTGAGACTATTTTTAACTGATAGCATAAAAGCAGCCTAACAATGCAAATACACCCGCTCAGGGGTAAATAAACAAATTTTGAAACTACATTTATCGCTGGAACTGGAAGACCTTTAAATAACAACAACAACAAAAAAACTAAAAAAAAAAATGGGAGGGGAATTGGAAAGGGGTTGAGGGAGCTGAATTAGCACTTATCACATTCAGATCCGCCAGTTGATGGCAGAGGGTCCAGCCCCCACACTATGCTGCCCTGGGCTGTTGCCCATGTTCATTGGTGTAGAAAGTACTCAATTTACTTATGTAAAAGTACAAATAAACAGACAAAAATGTACTCTAGTAAAAGTAAAAGTACCACATTGCCATTTTTACTTCAGTAAAAGTAAGAAAGTACTTGCTATTAGACACCCCGGGTGCCACCTGTAGTTCTCGTTCACGTGCTACACGTCACCACGCCTGTCACCTAATGTTGGAAAACATTAGGTGACAGCTAAAGGAAATGAAGGATGAAGACAGACATTGCTTCTGTCCATGCACAAGGCGACACGTTAAGATGGCAAGGGTCAGAGTTTCTTTGTGTCTGAGGAACAGCTGTTCTAAATTGTGTGCCAACGTGGACGGATGGAACGTTTCAGTTTAAATTGGTTTTGACACAAATCTCTAAATCTGAAAGTTTTGTATGTTTATCAAATATCAATTATTTTTGATAAGCCTACCTCAAAGATTGCAGATATTTAAACCTTTCTCTCACAATATCCCCTAAACACACTATAGGTATTATATCAATGTTGTCCTGTCGATACCTCCCTCCACATTGCTGCCATAGCGCCAGCGTCCCCAGCTGTGGCATATAGAGATGGCAGATGTTTTGTGCTCTTCCTGACACAACCCCTGACTGTTCACAGGAAGGAACAGGTTGCAAGCAGGGAACTTCTGAAGCCACTGCTTTGCTACTATGATTATTATATTGTATTTTCCCTCTTGTACATGTTTCTCTTTCAGAACATGGATAAGATGCAGCTCCCATCTGTAACCTTGATTGTTGGCTGTGGAGTATCCTCGCTCACACTGCTGCTTCTCATCATCATCTACGTGTCTGTGTGGAAGTAAGTTAATCCTTGCAAAGAAAAAACATCACTGCTGTTATTGATGCAAGTGTTAATACCAGATCAGGGACTCAACAGGTTGAAACGTCCCATCACATTTTGTTTTATTAAACCATTTTTTGAAACTGCACACTAATATTTTATAATTTGTTATAATACATAGACAATTATAATATCAAATTTATATCTCTTCCTCAAAAAAGAGATTTTATATAAAGGGACTTCCTGGTAAAATAATGGTTAAATAAAATAATGCTCTCAATGGCCACATTATTAGATGCACCATTCAGCTACCTGAATAATCCTTAAAAATCAAGAAATATCTGATAAACATTTTAAGCCTAGCTCTGTGGTCAGAGGGTGGTTTCTTTAATACAGTGGTTCCCAAACGTTTTCTCCTGGGACCCCCCAGTGGTTTCCAAACTATTTCTGCCCCCCCCCTCAGACACCTATGAATAGCTGTCTGGGGGGCTACTTGTTACAGCACCTTAAGCTTAACAAGGCTACTTGTTAAGCTTAGGGTGCTGCATTGATATTAGCTAGTCATCTTTTAGCTAACTTTACCTTCATCCAACAGCTTTACTCAACTCAGTCGGTTAGTTTGGGGGAAAAACTGTGAAAAGTTCTTTGCGTTTTGCTGGTTTGCTGCCATGATTCTAACACACCTGTGTAGCTCTGCACAGCAGCAGCAGGTCTCCTTCACTGCTGCACAGGTGGAAACCCAGCGCAAGCATCATAGTGCTCATGTTGCGTTTAAAGGCGGCTCGGAAAAACAGGTTACAACATGTTAACAACAGATTAAACAGTTTTAACTGCTGATAAAAGTGACAGAGGACACAAATATGGAAAGTGTGGAAGCCTCTACTGTATCAAATTGACAGGAATAACAGAGAGTCGGCCATTCTAAGGTAAAAACCCAGAGCATACAGCGTTCATGTTTTTTTTTTATTTTTTATTTTTCATCCATCCAGACGGCTTCCCGTGACCCCCTGCAATTGCACGGCGCCCCCCACCCCTAGGTGGCATGCCCCACAGTTTGGGAACCTCTGCTTTAATAGCAGTGCTGGTGGGGAAAACCAGGGTAAAGTTATCCGTTTGGCTAACAGTTTGCAGTTTGTATGTGTGCCTTGCACATGCTCATTTGGAACACCTGCTGTCCCCTCACCTCTAGTCTGGAACAGGCATTAAGCTGCAGGGTGTAGGTTCCACTGGCACATCGTCAGTAAATATTCACTTCTCACGAGTGGACTGGAGCTGAGCATGACTGTGTGTCTTCTCTCTCAGACAGCCAGACACAATGTCTCTTTTGGGGAATGTATAATTCAAAGATTCCTTATGCAGAATTATGAATAAGCAAGGGTCAAGGCTTGTGTGCAGTGTCTCCTCGATGTCACCCTTGTGAGTGACGGCCGTAGAAGAGACAGAATGGCTTCTTGTTAACGTGATGCCACATGCATGATGTGAAACTCTTGAAAATAGGTTGATGCATTGTGGGATTAATAGTTCCTATAGCAGGGTCCTGCAGTTCAGCCCTTTATAGTGAAAGACCAACAACTTGTATTAATTTCCCAGGTTAACAATGCACTTGGATGCTTGAAGAGACACAATAAGCTGGCAGCTGGAACTCAGTGCACACCATCATCAGTCATTAATAGCATTTAAAGAAACCTTTAAACTGGAGCTGTCGATTTTGGATCCCAGGGTTCCTTCTTTTTCTGCTTCCTGCAGGTACATTCGATCGGAGCGCTCAGTCATCCTCATTAACTTCTGCCTCTCCATCATCTCCTCCAATGCCCTTATTCTCATTGGACAGACCCAAACAAGGAACAAGGTTAGATCTAATGAGAGGCCGTATTATTTGACACTGCAACCCAGTAGGCATGTTCAGTGTGTTATGTCTCCCTTTCTTGTTCCAGGTTTTATGCACCCTGATTGCAGCATTCCTTCATTTCTTCTTCCTGTCGTCATTCTGCTGGGTTCTGACTGAGGCCTGGCAGTCATACATGGCCGTGACCGGTCGCCTCAGGAACCGCATCATACGGAAGCGCTTCTTGTGCCTCGGCTGGGGTGGGGATTCCAATTGTTGCCTACTGTTCTGCTCTTCGTGGCTGTTTAACTTCCTCTGAGTGAACATCCAGTCCTCTGTTTCCTCCCAGGTCTCCCAGCACTTGTTGTAGCCATCTCAGTGGGATTCACCAAGGCAAAAGGATATGGAACACCAAACTAGTAAGCGTGTTTTCTTATGGGTTAATGGTGTGAACTTCCTCCTCTATACATATATTAATGCTGGGTTATTACACATGAGACAAGGGTTATGTTTACAGCATAATTAACCTTTCTCTTCCTTTGTTTCATCTATATTTTACTTCCCTCTTTCTTGTCATGCCAACACCCCTTTCATTCCAACCTCCCATATTACTGCCCCTCTCATCTTTCACCGACCCAAACATCACTTCTTCCAATCACCTATCTCTCTCCACCTTTCTATCTTCTGCTGCTCTCTGGAAGCTGCTGGCTGTCTTTGGAAGGAGGCCTTCTCTATGCATTTGTTGGACCTGCTGCAGCTGTAGTCTTGGTATTTTCTTATCTTTTTATATGTTTCTTGACTGTCAAAGCTTCTGCATCAAAGCAAAGTTCATCACTGCCATGTAACACATTATCACTTTGAAACTGAATGCTGCATTTTGTTTGGATGCAAGTTTTTGCACAAAGTTACCATAGCAAGCTATTGGTCAGAGATTTAAACACAATCTTTCATTAAATGCTTCATTAAAATGGAAATTAGGACGACAGGTTATATTCAAAGCTTTTAAAATGGTCTTGGCCACTAGTTCTCCAGGATATATGACTTGGGAGCTTTTTACTGGCTAAGTACCAGTCATCATTTTGTAGGTCGGTCATGATGGTAAATCTTGGCTGAAATTTTTGACAGGCTGTTTTGTCTATATTGATTTGTCTTTAACAACTTTTACTGTGAGAATTCAGAAATATTAAACCTAATTGCTGGTTGAATATTTCATAAAACAAAACATTCCCAACATCAGCTCCAAGTCACAGAACTATGATGCTAAACAATCTACAAAAAATATTCTTCAGGTTTTTGTACAGAAAATTTTGTTTTCTATAACTAAAGCTCAACTGAAAAATAATGGCAAGGAATTAACATCATAATGAAGTTGTAACTATCCTAAAAAAGTAAATGTCAATTGTGCTTTGCACAATGTGGTCAAATTGTGAAAGCTAATTCAAATCTGTACAAGTGACAACAGGAAGCCTTTAACCTGGAGCTGCAGCCAATGTATGTCAAAAACAGACTTACATTCCTTCAACCATAAATATAAAAGCAGTTGGTTTCAGTTTATTGCTCCAGTTGGAAAAGGAAAGCCAGCTAACATTTAAAATTACCAAATGACACAAAGCTTACTGTTCTGCTAAATAAGGTCTGCTTGTTTGAGAACAAAATGAATGGATTACAGATCACAGTGACATTTAAAGAGTCTGTAATTCTGAAGGATGAATTCCATCCCATATTTAAAAAATGTTTATATTGTAAATGGTGAAAGAGATGAATAGACCAGAGTTAACTGGTAACAAACATAAGTTATGAATTTGAAAATAATCGGGTTGGTGGTCTGGACTGAAAACAAGAGAGGCATTTCCAAACAAAACTCTGAAGGAATTTGAAACTCTAGAAAATCTTTGATCAAAACCAGCTCAGAATATTCCAGTTTAGGAAGGTCTGACTCTCTTATCTTCTTATCTGAAGATAAGAATTAAAGAAATGAGGGGAATTCCTAATTTTTTTTGAATTCTTTGTTAATATTGTAATGCTCAGAGAAAATAAGCTGGGACATTGCAAAGCACCATATTCTTTAATTTCCTTTTCCTTTTGCTCTGTCTGCATGATTTTATGTTTTTCTTGCTTTTTCTACAACTTCCTGCTCCATTATGTTTCCTCTCTTTTATTTCTAACCCTCCCTTCCTTTCTTTACTTAATTATTTGTTTGCATTCTCGTTTTTCTTTTTACCTCGCATCTTTTCTTGTTTTAATATCCTACATTTCAGTAATTGCTTTCTTTGCTCCTCGTAGTTTTCATGTTTCCCATTTTTCATCCTATAACCTTTTACTGTTTCATGTCATTGCCTTTCTTTACTTCTTCACTCTTCCTTTCTATTTATCTGCCATTTTAATTTCAGTATTTTCTGCTATTGTTGTTTCCTGTTAGCACTACATGCATATATGCATATGCATGTGAAACTTGTTTGTTCATGGTAAAGTAAGGATACGTGTCTGACTAAGAACAGAATCTAAACATCTCAACCTCAGCTTTTTTTTTTAAAAGGTTTACCATTTGGTTTAATGATGGTTAATATGTATATGTTCCTAATGAACATGAATTAGAGTTCTGTTGTTTAGCTAGAGAAGTATTTGCATCCTTGTATAAAATTTGGAAGTGCTGGGATCATGTAAAGTGTAAATAGGTTGATGAAAATCTTCTTCTCTGAAACTTGCTGAGGTTTTGCTCTCAATCCTTAACTGCAAGGTATAATAAAAGACTCCCTATTAAAGTGGAGAGCTTTATAATATTACCATAGTTACAACATACTAACTTAGTAAAGCACTATTTAATGTTGCATTCCATCTGCTTCGAAAATCGGAACTCAGATTTAATGTCGCAGGCAACTTAACAGTGTTACACTTCCCAGTTGTAAAACATTTTGGGGGAAATGTGCTCAGTGACCAGGCTAACTACTCTTAGTTACATGACATATATGACTGACTGCACAGTTTAAAATTTCCATCAAATACATATTTCATAAATGATATGATTTCATTTTCAAATGGAATAAGCAGTCAACAAAAATCTATAGAATAATCCTGAAGTATAAAACGTCAGAGGATATAGAGTGGAACCTGTCATAATCAGTTCCTTAATGATACTATAGCAGAACATCAAAGCAGCAAAACAGAATGATACTTTGTGTCATTTACAGTTATAAATCCAAGGCAGACAAAAATGAATTGTGAGATTCCTCAATGATCCATTCTCTGGGCACTTTTATATAACACCTGATGACATTCACTCACTGTTGTGAAGGTTAGTCCAGTTGCAGCCATTCCAGTTCTTATGCCACCATCTATGTCCCCTGGAGTCCGTTCTTAATTGTGACCACTGGTCTGCATTCTTACCAGATTCCACCAAAATAAAACCAACCTTGATCCATGTGGCTCTGTCCTGCTTTAGTTATTGAAGGTGTGTCAAATGTTTTATGATGAAGGGACATCATTAAAAAAAAGAAAAAGGTCAAGTCAGTGTAAAAAAATCTATAAATTAGGTTAATTCAATCCTAATCTTACTGCTATGAATGCAAATGTCCATGAAAAATGGTTAATAAGGCTCAAGAAAAGCTCCTTCTCTTCTCACAGTTGCTATTTCACAGAGAAAAGGGTTGGCCTCAGCTTAGCCAGCAACATTCTGTGGTGAAAAACTGACATATTAACGGTCCTCTAAACTCGTGATCAACCAAAACCAGATGTCTATAAACAGAATGGTTTTAGTTACTTCAGTCCTTGGCCCTTCCTTCCTACGAGGATCAGTTTGTTTTTAACCTGTCACTGTTACTCTGCAGTCATACTGAAAGCCTGGCTCACTCTGACCATCGTCTGATTACATGTAGAAATGTTTATATACATAAAATCTGAAATAAGAATTAATCTAATCAGCCATGCACCATCACTCCCAGTACCTTTGATTTCACTCATATTTTATGTATGATTTCTGTTTGCTGCTCATCCTTCCTGTTCAGAATGAATTTTATTTAATCTTTAAAACCTGTTTTTAATTTTTTTCCCTCATTTTTTGCATTATTTAATGCCTGTGACTCAAATTTAATAAGATGTGTTTCAGTTTTTAGAATTCAGAGCCAGCAGTGAGCTTACCTAGAGTCTGTTCTGCAAGCCATTTACATGCATGCTGGACGTTATAGACACCACCATCATCATCCTCACTACAGTGGTGCTGCATGTTCTGAAGCAAGAAAAGTGCCTTTACTCTGCTTTAACCCTGTGCCTCTTGTCTTTGGCAGGTTAACATGGTTATTGGGATTCTCGTTTTTAACAAACTGGTCTCCAAAGATGGCATTACTGATATGAAACTAAAGGAGAGGGCGGGGTATGCCTTAAACCACACATTCATTTTACACAGTGACCTATAACCAGGCTGGCTGCTTATGGAGGGGACTGTGGCTGTTACCGGCTTCAGCTCTGAAATAACGGTCAACTGAAATGGCTAAATCTGACGCTGGAATCCTCTGAGTGTACTAGACCAAAAAAACAAAGGCTGTCTGGTTATTGGTCCTGCACAAACTGAGCAAATTGATGACTCATCTCATTGCTTTCTTTTATGTTTCTGAAGTGTTGCATTCTCCTCCAGCTGCTCTTTGTTTGCAGGTGTTGCTCTTGATGTAAAAGCTCTGTAAAACCATCCTCTTTTTAATCCTACTACTTCTTCTCTTTTCAGTAAAGGGAATCAGGGTGTAAAAACAAATTATGTGTTGGGGTTAATTTCCTTATCTCTAACTCCTCTTGCGTATCTGTAAACGGTTTAGTTGCATTTATACATCTCAGTAAATAGCTTAGTGCTACAGTACCTAGTGAGAGACTACGATTTGGCTGTACTGTTGCTGAGCAGGTGTGAAGCTTTCTCATCTGAAATAGACATTATGTTTCTTTTAATTCTGTATGATATATGTTAATGCTACACATATGAAACAAGTTGGTTCCATATGATCCACATCAAATGTGATGTACAGCTTCCTCTCCATGCAATGCCTGGAAGTGAGCTTGGGTGAAAAGCATTTTAAATTTCCAATATGTAACTTTTATTTTTAAAAAAAGTTTTTTTTTTTTTTTTTTTTGTTACATATTTGTTAAAACTGTCACCATGTCATAACAGTGTAATATGAAACAATCTGTGGAAAAAAATCAAGCTCTTCTGCCTGTGGCTCTACTGCTATCTGCAGAAATGCACTGCTCCTTGACTGAAACAACTAGTCAGAGCCAGGAGGACTGTCAATCATCTTCAGCTTATGCTCAGTCTGTTAATGGAGGAACACCAACTTCTCATTAAAGGAAACCTATTTATCTGCCTTTATTGGTGGCCATGCTAACTAGCCTGAACTTGCATGTTATGCTAGCTGTGGGGAACGAGCTGTAGCCTGGCAGAGTTCTAAGGGGGAGGATGTTAGCAGTGTGTACAGTAGGGCAGCGTTTCCCAATCCTGGTCCTCAAGGCAACACCTGTCAATGAGGCACACTGTCCCTCAAGGAGAGTGTACCTCAAGGACAACAAGGGAACATGTTTTAGATGTTCCCTTGCTTTATCCTAACTTGATTCAGCTGATTGCAGTTCAGCAAACACCTGTCAATTGAAATCACCTGGATTGAAGCAAAGAAACACCTAAAAGATGCGGGGCAGTGTACCTAGAGGACCAGAATTGGGAGACACTGCACTATAGTTATTGACTAAGATCCTCCTCCTGGCTCTGATTGGTTGTTTCTAACCATGCAGTTTATTTCTGCAGATGGCAGTAGAGCCACAGGAAGGAGGTTGAGTAGCTTGATATTTTAACAGATTATCTGACTCTTATTATACTGTCTGGACAAACTGATATTTTTTTTAATATGTAAAAAACATATTTTTTTAAAATAAAAAAATTACCTATTTCAGCTTTAAGCCTCTTTCACAAAATGAAAATGGCCTTCCTCAGTCTGTTTTTTTAAATGACTCAGATTGCATTGTAGGTATAAATCAGCCTGTTGCTGTTCACCCTCTGAGATGTCAACACATCCATCCACCGCCATGTATTGGCCAACTAACAGGGATTAGCTGCCTTCAAGAGTGCGGTGTAGCAATGGCGAATGTTTCTTTTGTTATTTACACAGACTGGACAAGCCAGGCTGCAATGGACTGAGATACAACAGATCAGTAGACGTAAGCCAAGGGTATTTTTTTTTTTTTTTTTTTTTTTTTTAACCAAAGCACTGATGGTTAATAGCCAATAGTATAATACACTCCTGATCAAAATCTTAAGACCAGTCAAAAAATTGCAAGAATTTGCATTT